GCATCGTGTAACATTGAGCCTCAGAACAGGCTGCTGGAGGGCACCACCTGGCATGTCCCTCCACAGAAGATTACTGTTCCTGATCACTCCTGTCTCTCTCAAAGCTTTGTTAATCTGTGGAATGAGAGATAGTAGGAACTGCAGATGCTGGAGAATCTGAGATAACAAGGTGTAGAGCTGGATGAACACAGAGGAGCAGGAAGGCTGATGTTTCGGGCCTAGACCGTTCTTCATTTTCTGTGGAATTATCTTTCCCAGTGAGGGCTGGCACAGGCCTTTAAACAAGGGGGATATAAAATATATCTGTCGATGGGAAATGTGACCCTTTTTCTTCAAATGATACAGCTAAACCCATAAAGATCTTAAGAGACAAAGGAACTACTCAAACTTCTTCGCTGGGGAAGGACATAGTTCTTCATCCAGAGTTGATTGAAAGCCAAAGAATAAGCGGAGTGCATAACCCAGATCAGTTATATAAAATGTAATTAGAATGTGAGTTGATGTCCAGAACAGTGGCAGTAGGACTCATTAAGAAATCACTCATAGAGGTAATGATTTTCTAGTTAATGAATTGGCTGGAGTGAAAGTTATAGCTTCACCTACAATTGCTGAAAGTCTGAGTGAGGTTAAAGAGATGGAGCAATTATGGGAACAAGTCCCATCAAAATGTGCTGACCAATGCATGGCTCAACAAAAGTCAATTACCTGAGATCAAAGTAATACTACTGCAGTGATTGTAACAAGGTCAGCTAGCTGGACGTCATAGAATAAAAGTTTCCCTCGTTGGGGCTGTTAATCTGGTCCAATCAGAGAGTCCTGGCTGACATAAAAGGCTGAATGTCAGGGATATTCAATCCCTTGATTGCCTGATGCAGTGAGAGGCGGTGCTGTTGTCAAAGGCTATGCATTTGTAACTAAAGGGTGACTGGAGTCTGGATGCTGACCTCTGAAGAGTTATTTCAACCACAAGCTGATGTTAGGGTAGCTGAAACTTGCTTAAAGAATGGGGATAAATCACAATAAGTGTTTAGTATGCCTTGGTTAACTGAGGATTTGATAACAGTTCCAGAGTTAAGCAACTTAACACAGTCAGCTCACACAGCTGTTAAGCCTTAAGGAGCTCTAGAGAACTGCCACATTAAAAAAATCAAGTTGTGATCGGGAAGTGGAGACACCCTCACAGACTTGTGGGCAAGGAATGTACAGTGCTCATCAGATAGTGGTACTGCCCAAATATTCCAAGGAAATATTGTGAGTAACACATTAAATTCCTATGGCATACAAAAATGCAAGCTTCAATAAGCAGATATGACACAGATGGAGCTGGAAGAATACAGCAGGCCAGCCAGCATCATTGGAGCAGGAAAGTTAACGTTTCGGGTCGGGACTCTTCTTCAGAATTAAAAAACGATAACGATGTGTTATCTCTGACTCCAGTACCTGCAATTCTTTCTATCTCTGAGCTTCAATAAGCAGTTATTTTACTTGGCCAAAACTTCATAGAGATGTAGGAAGATCTGTAAAAGATGCCAAACATGTGAAGTAGTAGGGAAAGCTCAACATTGAATCAAAGCAGCACCATACCAATTTTTGAAAAACCATTCAGCTGAGTGTTTGTGGATTGTGTTGGACATAGTGAAAATGAAAGCAATAGATCCTTAAAGTTATGGATACGATAATGCAGTTTCCAGAAGCCATTCCTTTAAGGACAATAACAGTGAAGGTAGTGGAGGGATAATTAACTCATCTCTTTTAATCTATTCTGGATTACCAATTAAAATAAAATCTAAGGTAATGATAAAGTTTTTTTTCAGGACTTAATAAGCAACGTAGTATAAATTAATTGAAGTCCACTGTCTATCATCCGCAGATGTAGGGAACTTTGGAGAACATAGATCAGTACACCACAGGAACAGGCCCTTCGGCCCACCTTGTTTGTGCTGATCATGATGCCATTCTAAACTAAACCCATCTGCCTGCTCATGATCCATATTCCTCTATTTCCTGCCTGTTTACGTGTCTGAGAGATGCCAGCAAACTCTCAAAACAATGATTAAGACATATTGTCACAAATACCCAAAGGATTGGGACAAAGGATTACATTTTTTGCAATTAGATTTTCTACCAGAAGTTCTCTAAATGAATCTATTAGATTTTAGTCCTTTGAAGTGGTCTCTGGCCTTGAAATAAGAGATTCATTAAAATTGAATAAGGAAACATTTTTAAGGCAGAGATTAATCCTCGATTTTGGATTACGCCTTCATGTTTCTAGAGAGATTCAAAGGTGGATATTAAAAACTTCACAGGTAAAGATGAAATAATAGGGAGAAAACATTACAAGTAGACCATTTTAAACTGGAGACAAAATGTTGGTTGTATCACCTTTACAGAGATTCAATGGGTCATAGAAGCTAGTTTGGAAGGTTAGTAAAGCAATTTGTCAAGTAGATGAAGAAGGGTCACTGGATCTGAAATGTTAACTCTGTTTTCTCCTTCACAGATGCTGCTAGACCTGCTGAGCTTTTCCAGCAACTTTGTTTTTGTCATCAGGTAGATAATCCTGGTTGCAGGAAGAAGAATCAGTTATTTAATATAAACACATGAATTATAATGGAAGGAATTGCCATTCACTGACCCTGGCAGGAGTCTCAGCTGGATGATCAGCTACAACACAAAAGGAGGCCATTTGGCCCATCATGTCTGTCGGAACACTTCACCGACTGCAGTGTTCTGTATTGCTCTGAGATAAATCAGATAACTAAGGTAAATAACAACCCCAATCCAAATATAACCTGAGGTGATGAGCAGATATAACACTAAGTGCCAAACCCCATATTTTCCTCATAGCTTAGCACATTCTTCCTTTCCAGTAACAAGCAAATTCCATTTCGAATGTTTCAGTTGACCCTGCCTTCACCACTCAAGCAATGCATTCAAGCTGGGAACTTCTGGCTACGTTTGGAGGAATTTTCCTCAGGTCATAATTGCTACTTTTGCCAGTAATTGTACATCTGTGCCTTTTTGTTCTTGATTGTACACCAATGGCAAGTTTTTCTCTTCATTCCTAAGTGGTGTGAAGATAAACCCAAAAGCTACAGGCCAATCAGGCTAACCTCGGCAGTGGCAAAGTTTCCAGAAACAACAATTCAGGTCAAAATTAATGCTTGCTGGTGTGAATGTAGATTTATTTAAAGGATTCTGTGGCATGCAGGCCAGTTCCGGGGAAGGTGGGACCTGTACAAACTGGGCACTGTAAATCTGAATGGGCTTGGGATAAATATTCTTGCTGGAAGATTTGCAAGTGCAGTTGGGGACGGTTTAAGCTAGGTTACCAGGGTGATGGGAACCTGAGGGCAAATTCATGGCAAGGAATGGGAGGCGAAAACTGAATGAGTAATTCTAAAAGGCAGAGGAGCAGAGGTTAAAAAAATATACAGCGCAGAAAAATTGGTAGCTGAGGAGGGTAACGAATAAATCTGATGAACTGAGGGCACAGATAGACCCACAGCAGCATGATATCATTGCTTGAACTTGGCTTAAAGAGGGAAAGAATGGGGTTCAATGTCCCAGGATATAGAATTTTGAGGCAGGAGAGGGAAGGGGATTAATAAGAAAGAGGTGCACATTAGTGAGTAAAAATTCACTCAGAGTTGTGGGAGGGACGATTTACTCAATGGAGCATAAAATGAGGCCATACATGTTGAGGTCAGAAACTAAAAGGAGCAGCCACACTGCTAGGTGTGTACCATAGACTCCAAAGAGTAGGAGGGAGATAGAAAAGCAAATATACAGGCAAATTTCTGAGTGTTAAAAACAATAGGATAATAATAGTTGAGGATGTCAACTGCCCAAATATCAACTGGAATAACACAGGGTGAAAGGCATAAAGGGCACAACATTGTTGAACTGCATACAACAGAAGACCTTTAGCTAGCACATGATAAGACCAATGAGAGAGGGCAGAATTTTAGCTTTGGTCTTAGGAAAGGAAGCTGGGCAGATGGATGCAGTAATAATGGCTGACCATTGTGGAGATAGTGATCATAACACAGAGAGATTTAGCATTACTGTGGAAAGGGCCAAAGATAGAACAGGTGTAAAAATTCTAGACTGGAGGAAAGCACATTTTACAAAGCTGAGAGACGGTCTGGTAAAAGTGGAGTGGATACAGTGACTTGAAGGTAAGTCATTAGCAAATCAGTGGGAGGCATTCCAAAATGAGATCCTATGGACACAATGTTAATGTGTTCCCCATATTAAAAAAAAGGCTTGTACTGTCACACCTGGTGCCCCCTGGTTATCCAGAAACATACAGGGCACAATAAAGCAGAAACATACAGTTTATGATAATGTCAAGAAATGTAATACTTTAGGAAGCTCTAGAGGGAGAACAGAGGAGATTTACAAGAATGTTATAAAGGCTTGAAATTTGCAACTATGATGTAAGATTAGATAGGCTAAAAGGTAGTTCTCCTCAAAGGAAATGTGGCCAAGGTGGTTACATAATTCAGATATACAAAATACTGGGAGGTTTGGATAAAGTGGACAGGGAAGACCTATTTCCCCTAACAGAGGTTATTAGGGAAGGAAGGAGTGGTAGATAGGTTTTATGGGGGGCTGAGGCTTAGTACTGGAGTGAAGAGTTGAGTTAGTTAGGTTGGGGTGTGAGGGTCAGGGTGGGTATTTTGGGGGTAAAGTTCAGGTTAGGCTTTTTGGAGGAGGATGTCAAGGTAATTATATTTTGGAGGTGAGTATCAGCGTGGATTCTTTGGGGAGAGGGGTTCAGGGTGAGTTTTTTGGTTGAAGGAGTCAGGGTGGGTATTTTGGTTGAAGGAGTCAGGGTGGGTATTTTGATGCTGGGCAGTCAGAGTCAGGCTGACTTTTTGGTGAGTCTGGGTCATGGGGGTGGGGTGTGGTTTGTCTGGTGAAGGACTGGCCGGGGAAGGGGGTGGGGGTGCTCTCTGTGGGGGTGCTCTCTGTGGGCATTCCCAGGGCGGGGGTAGAGGGAGTAGTTGCCTTTCCCTGGCCCAGGAGGCGGTCTCAGTGCCGCACCCGGGACGGTGCATACAGAGAGAAGGAGAGAGTGAGAGAGACTCAGAGCCAGGAGCACATTTGTCGGGAGCTGGGAGCAAGCATGAGCGGCTCGGAGAGGCTGGCGAGCGGGCAGAGGGGCTGCAGCCGCCGGGGCAGCACTGCCAGCAGTGGGGGAACATCGGACAGTCCGGGGGATGAGCCCGGCTCCGTGTCCGCCGGCAGCTACTGGCAAGATCCGCTGGCTATTGACATGAGCCGGCGGGCAGTGCCTGCTCCCCGGGTCCGCAGGGCACTCCGAGCCGTCTATGTGATCAATGAGACGGTAAATCCACAATCCCCGGACAGCCTGGCACTTAAGTGTTTCCGGGAAGCTTGCGAAGATGCCCACGCTGTCCTGGAGACAGTGCCCTTTGGTAGGTTGGTGCTGGGGGAGACTGGCACCTTGGACTGTTTCTACAATGCAGGTGAGCATCCCTACCCCTCTACAGCAAAGCGAGACTCTTCCAAAACTCTGCGGGCGTTAGCAGAGGTTTTAGTTTGATTTTTATTTACCCTGAGCGTTGGCGGGGGGGAAGCTAGATCCTAAAAGGGACACGCAAGAGAAGCAGCTAGGCTATAAGATAGGGAAGGCAGCAAAAGCTCCAGGACAGGGACATCGACAAAGTTGACGGTACTGGGGCCAGTTTTGAAACAAAAAACTAAGCGTAAGAGGTGGATTTGCAGACATAACCCCGAGGAGGAGAGAGGTTTAAGATGGGTGTTCCAAGGCTTAGTGACACCAATGGGGATTACAATCAGGATTGCTTGTGTGACCAATTTGGAGGAATGCAGGTTTCTTGTAGGATTCCAAGGATGGATCAATTACCGAGATAAGGAGGGATGTGTAAATAAGGATGAGAATTTTAAAAATTGAGGTGTGGCTCATGTGTCTTGATGGGCTGAAGGGCCTGTTTCTGTGTTGTACTGTTCATCGTTGGCTGGGACAGGGGCACTGTAGGTCAGCAAGCTCAGGAGTTTTGGTATGAAGTGTAGGATATGAGCAGCAGAGTTTTGAATTACCTCAACTGACAGATTAATGAAGGAGGTCTGTTGGATATGTTCTCGGATGGTCACATTCAGAGGTAACAAAAACACGGATGACAGCTTCAGTCGGAGATGAGCTGAGGTAAAAGGGGGAGTTGAACGATGTCACAGAAGTGAAAATAGACTGCGTGATGATGTGGATGTGTGATCAGAAACTGATCTTGGGGTCCAACATGATACCAAAGTTGCAAATGATCATTTTTAGCATTAGATCTTTGTTAGATACAAGAGTGGGATTTGTATTTGGGGAACGTTAGCAACTGGGGAAGGAGTTTGTGGCAGGAACTGGAGTCAGTCTTCCTGACAGTTTTAATTGGAGCAAATTTCTTCTCATCCGGTAATGAACGTTAGGCGTGCAGCCTGATAATTGGGACGCCGTGGAAAAATTCAGAAACCTTTGGAAGATCCAACACAACTTACAATGAATTAGCAATAACAATCCAGAAAGGGCCAAAGATATCAGTCTCCATTAGAGACACAATTGATAATTTATAGCATGAGGGTCACTACTCCACAAGAGTGGGGAAGAGTTGAGCGAAATTTCAACCTTGGAATCCCAGAGTGGTTTCCAGCCAACGATGTACATTAATACATGAACATCACTGCTTTAAGAAATTTGACGTTCAATTAGTGCACAGACAAGAAGTGCAATGAAATAATAACCAGTTAATGTGTATTTTGTCAATTTTGGTTTGGGGATAAATAATCATGAGGATACAGGTGAGTACTCTTGTGTCCTTCAAAGTAGTGTTCTGGGATCTTTCAGGTCCATTTCAGAGGTCAGACAGAGGCTATGTTTGATATCCCAACTGAAGGACAGTGCTGCACTCCCACAGCACCACACTGAAGTGTCACACTTGGATGAATGTTCAAATTCCTGGAGTGGGACTGTAAACTTATAACTTTCCAGTTTTTCTTCTGTTTTCATTCACGCCCTCTTCAGTCCATTGGACCCTCCTCCTGCTTTGGCAGAAAACGCAAATGTGTTGCAGCATTTTCTGTGCACAAACTAAAGCATGCCATTTGTTCTGGCAATGCTCAGAGCATCACATAAACCTGACTTGAGAATGATAGATATATAAAGTCGTGTAATTTGGACCTTTGCCCTTTAATACAGTTCAAATTGTCGATGAATGGAAATAACTTCCAAAGGTTGTTCAGGGTGTAATCATTGCCTACACAGCTGGAAGTGGAAATGTGCCTTACCGATTTGAAGCTGCAGTTCAGAAGCACCAGAGATAGTAGGAACTGCAGATGCTGGAGAATCTGAAATAACAAGGTGTAGAGCTGGATGAACACAGCAGGCCAGGTCGAGGCCCGAAACGTCAGCCTTCCTGCTCCTCTGATGCTGCTTGGCCTCATCCAGCTCTACACCTTGTTAATTCAGAAGCACTAAGTGTTTTAAAATTACCTTCCCCTTGTCGTAGTAGACGACGTTTGCTTTTGTTTATTCGTCCAAGTATAATTGCTCCGTTTCTTTTTGTCGACGTTCGTGAGGAGTTTGGCAAACTATCTCCAAAATTTACTGGCTTGGTTTTTTTTTGACAAATTTATTGATTTTTTTTGTATGTTAATCACTACAGTAAATGCACTGAAGTGTAATTAATGTGTTACATGTGGTAGAAAGGAACTCGATCTACCGCTGTTGTTTTTTCTAATTTTGCAAGAGGCATAGCTCTTGACACGCAATTGTTTTAATGAGGTCCATTTGTACTATGAGTTATACTGATTTTAAGGGAAGCTCTTTGCCTTTAAGGACACAAATTCCTAGTGTTGTAGGTAAACACTGGGAGAAATTAGTTTAAATGCTGTTTCGACTCCAGGTCACAACCAACATTTTTTAAAGCATGTTTACGAAGATATTACAGACTCACTTGCAGCTGTGTGCTGCTGATTTCTCAAACCCTTTAAAAAGTGTGCTTGTAGTGTGATGGTGCCATTGCTGATGCATGGGGAGAAGGGCATTAGAGCATAGAATGCTTGATTTATTACAATTAGCCCCAGATGTTATGCACACAAACCTTGAGACAGATCGGGTACATCATTGTATTCTTTGCATGGTTGAGGCTAAATCCCTTTTTATAGTGTACAGTGTTGGCACCTTCTCCATGGTAAAATGTTCCTGCAATACTCACATAGAGTCATAGACATGTACAGCACAGAAACCGACCCTTTGGTTCAACTCGTCCACGCCAACCAGATATTCTAACTGTATCCAGCCCCATTTGCCAGCATTTGGCCTATATCCCTCTAAACCCTTCCTATTCATACACCCATCCAGATGCCTTTTAAATGTTGTAATTGTACCCACCTCCACCACTTCCTCTGGCAGCTCCTTCCATACATGCACAACTCTCTGCGTGAAAAAGTTGCCCCTTAGGCCCATTTTAAATCTTTCCCCTCGCACCCCAAACCTATGCCCTCTCGGTTTGAATTCCCCCACCCTGGGGAAAAATCCTTGGTTATTCACCCTATCCATGCCCCTCATGATTTTATAAACCTCTATAAGGTCACCCCTCAGCCTTTGACGCTCCAGGGAAAATAGCCCCAGCCTATTCAGCCTCTCCGTATAGCTCAAACCCTCCAACATTGGCAACATCCTTGTAAATCTTTTCTGAACCCTTTCAAGTTTAATGACATTTTTCATACAGAAGGGAGGCGAGAATTGAATGCAGTATTCCGAAAGTGGCCTAATCTATGCCCTGTACAGCCACAGCATGACCTTTCAACTCCTACACTCAATGCACAGATTGATAAAGGCAAGCATACCAAATGCATCTTGTGGAAAAGAATCAAAAACATTACATGAATAAATCTCCATATGTAGCATGATGGATTTCTACTGTCCATTGAGATTGGGATTTTGTACTGAGGGTCAAAAAATATATAAAACTTCAGGAAACATTAATTTATTTGGTAAATATCCTTCTTTATGAGATATCTATGCAGATACTGTAAATTACCAAAAATATTTGATACAATATATTTCATATCATTGTGATTTATTAAGAAATTCCCCTAAGCTTGAACAATGTTACTGTTGCTATTCTTCCAGCTGCTGTTTTGATTTCTCCGAAACAAGTACAATAAATCTTGACTGTTCTAGTTCCTTAGGATACAAATGATGACAATTTAGAGTATAAGATTTCACTCCTCATGCAAAATTCCTCTGTTGTGAAATAAATAGCTGCTCCTTGAATATAATAAACACCATTTAATGTCCTAGAAAAAGTTGCTTCAGATAAGAAGCCAAACTGCATGCCTTACATTGCATTAATGATTTACACATGAAAACAAAATTAAATCCCCACTTTAACTATTGGAATAATGATTTGCCTAACTCTCAATGACCTTTCTTCATGATGGCTCAAGTTAGGAATTTTTCTTTGAAGTTGTTAGCCTTATTGTGTTGTACAAATAAATAATTATTGGAGTGTTCTTACAAGCTAAAAGGCTTGTTTTAGATAAATAAACATTTTTTAAAAATATATTTTTCTAATCAACCTGTTCTGAGATATTATGACATACCTCAGGGGCAGGTGGCACTTGAACCTGGGCATCCTAGCTCAAAGGTAGGGACACTGGCACTGTACCAGAAGAGCCCCAGTAAGCTTATTTTAAACAAAAACAAAAGTTGCTGGAAAAGCTCAGCAGGTCTGGCAGCATCTGTGAAGAGAAATTGGAGTTAATGTTTCAGGTCCAGTGAGCCTTCCTCAGAACTGATGGTAGCCAGGAAAATGTTGGTTTATATGCAGAAAATTGGGTGGGGGAGGGTGTAAGGAATAAATGACAGGTGGGGATAGAGGCCAAAGAGAGAGAAGAACAGTTGGACAGACAAAGGAGTGGATAATGGTCTGGCTAGGAGGGTGAATAGCTGTTATATGGGGACTGTTACAGGTGTGTGGGGTTGGGGCTGGGACATGGAAGAGTTCAGGCCCTAAAATGGTTGAACTGAATATTGAGTCTGGAGGGCAGCAGGGTCCCTAAGCTGAAAATTAGATGATGTTCTTCCAGCTTATTTTAAAGCTTGCCATTTGCAGAGGGAGCTTGACGTTAGCAATGACACTTTGAAAAGTCAATATATTGAAATCATTTCACATCCAGAGGTTAAGTCATTAGCAGGACTTGTGTGTCAGGTTTATTTGTTGTTTTCGCTGGTTGTCCACTGATGTATTAAGGATCTGGTTGGTGGAGTTGATGCTGATGTAATGATTTAGTCTTGTCCAGAGTTGAAATTAATTTATTTAATTTGATGTGCCATTATTGATAGGTTGCTCCTTTTAATCTGTTCATTTGTTGCTATTTCCACTGCTCCATTTGTTTAATGATTTGATGTGTTTATTGGCTGACAAGATGATGACTGTAATTAAATGCTGCTGCT